GATGCATAATTCAAGTTTTATATTCCTCTTATCTTCTAATATCTAACTTATTTTGTATATTTTATGTAATGTTTTTATTCTTGTATTTTTGGGTCTATGACCGTACAATAAACTCAACACATTATTTTCTCATCTGACAGTGGGTTTTCAGTATTTTGAGAATTTGCTGGAATTTTCATATGAAACTATTTCATATTGAGCACAAATGTTGGGGAGGCATTTGTGATATACATAATACTGTATCTGTGTTGCAGTGTTTATAGGAGCCGTAGATTATTTTAGCAAAGGGTCTCATGGGGCCTTAAGGACTAACAAATTGTATTTGGCATAAGCTTTCATAGGCTGCAGTCCACTTCAATCCACAAAAGCTTACCAAATAAAACGTATTGGTCTTTAAGATGCCAGAAGATTCTGTTGTTTTTGTTGCAAAAAACAGGCAGTGCAATTCTACCTCTAAAAATTTGCCAGCTGAACAGAAATGTCTTGTGCTGGCACAACTCCCTTGTGCTAGCTGTCAGATCTGCTTGCATAACTGGATCTGCTACTACAACTTTTTTGCTGACTGACATCAGCTGGCAGCTGAGCCTAAAATCATACTTTTTTTTGTTGATCAATGTCAGAAGAAGGATGCAGGTGTGGGATAAAAATTAATTGCCCAAACCGTCATTGTTCCAGAGGCTTTAGTAAGCAGCACAGCTAAATGGGAAGAGTGAAGAGAATATAGTAGATGTAAGGTCAGTTTGCTTAAGGGAAAAACACAGATAGAAGAGATTAGAATGAAAAAGCAACCAGCATTTCAAGGCTATCTAAGTATGAATTTGAAACAGAGGTGCCAAGGATGGGTGACTGTAACTTATAATTTCTACCTTCAGCCATCTTTCTGAAACATAGAAGTTTATTTTGCTGTCTATCAAGGCTCCTGGGACTTCTGATGACCAAACACACCAACTACTATGCCTTTGCCTGTTCCTTTTGTTTTTGGTGACTGATTTATCAGGCTGAATTAATGGCTTGATTCAGACTATGCTAACCTCCTGCTTTTCAGTAAGGACTGTCTTAAGATGATGCAACCCTGGTGCTTGCTGACACATGGATAGGTCAGAAAAGAGGGGTTGCTGAGGGAGCTGAGTTACAGAAGATTGAAACTGCTGTCATCCCATACTCACAGTCACTATAAAGTTAGGGCAGGATTAGCATAGCCCTAGTGAACGAACATACAGCATCGCTTGGCTGGGAGGGTTTGGAATTTAGCAGAGCTTTAGCCAGCTCGTAGTTATCTCTGGTATTCCTCATGTATCCTGTTAGAATTGTGCCGCTAGGTTCCTGAAACTACAATTCTTTTATTCTGGATATGTGCTTTTTTCAAACTGCATGACTCAGTCCCAGTGATTTGTTGCCTGAGTGAGCCTCGGATATGCACACAGTTACAACTGCGAATGAAGTGCTGTGTCTTTTCCTTGAAGTGAATAAAGGCAGACAAAATGCTTGAGAGTTTGATAGATGTTGGAATTCTAGAATGAAATTTTAGACTAGGCATTTGTTCTTTTATTGAATTATTTGTGGCTGTTACATGCTTTCAAGTCACCTCCAATTTATGGTGACCATGTGAATGAGCAATCTCCAAAATGTCCTGTCCTCAGCAGCCTTGCTCAGCTCTTGTAAACTCAAGCCTGTGGCTTCCTTTGGGGAACCAGTCCATTTTGTATTTTGGTCTTCTTCTTTTCCTGCTGCCTTCTAACTATCCCAGCATTATTGACTTTTCCAGAGAATTTGTCATCTCATGATGTGCCCAAAGTAGAACAGCTTCACTTACACCTTTTTTTGCCTCCAGAGATAGTCCAGGCTTGATTTGATCTAGTACCTACTTTTCCATCTTTCTGGCAGTCCAGTCCAGTATATCCACAAAGCTCTCCTCCAGCACCAGATTTCAGACAAATCATATTTTCTCCTGTACACTTTCCTTTACTGTCCAGCTTTCACACCCATACATGGAGATCAGAAATATAAGAGTGTGGATGCTCTTGGTCTTGACCACCAGTGACACATTTTTACACTTGACTATCTTTTCTAGTTCCACCATTGCTGCCATTCTTAGTCACAATCTTCCTCTGATTTCTTCTCTGCAGTCTCTATTAGAATTGATGATTGTACCAAGGTATACAAAATCTTTAACTATTTCAGTTTCTTAATTGTCAGTGTTAAAGTTGTGTAGTTATATAAGTCATGATTTTTGTCATCTTAGCATTCAGCTGCTGTCCTGCTGTGACACTTTCTTATTTCACTTTCACTAAAAGTGGTTTTAATTCATTGCTGCTTTCTGCTGGTAAGATGGTGCCATCTGCATATCTTAGATTACTGATGTTGCTTCTGTCAATTTTTACTTCTCCTTCATCTGCATCTACGTAGGCTGGCTTTCCATATGATATGTTCTGCATACAAATTGAACAGATACGGAGATTAAATGAACCCTTGTCTGACACATTTACCTATAGGAAACAATTCTGTGTCTCCTTATTCTGTCTTAATACTTCTTGTCCACAGTACAAGTTACATATTAAGACAATAAAATGATGGGGCACTCCCATTTCTTTTGGAGCAACCCATAGTTTCTCATGAACTTTGCAGTCAAAAGCTTTGATGTCGCCTATAAAGTATAGGCTGATTTTCTTCTGAACTCTGATGCTTTCCAGAAGTCAGTGGGTATTTGTAATATAACCTCAAGTGCCTGTTCCTTTTCTGAATCCAACTTGAACATCAGGCATTTCTTGCTCCATATAAGGTAAAAGCACTTGTTGCAATACCTTGAGCATCACTTTGCTTGCATGTGTGATTAGAACAAAGGTTCTATAGTTACTCCACTCCTTGACGTCTCTTTTCTTGGGGATTGGAATGTGTTTTGAGTATTTCCAGTCTGTGGGCCATTTTTTTGTTTTCCATATTTGTTGGCATATTCTTGTTAGGATTTTGACAGATTAAGCCTTTGTTGCTTGAAAGAGTTTTGCTTGTGTGCATTATCTTAAATTAAAATTGCCATAACACAAGTGGCTAATTCTCAATATCTTGCTTGTTGCTTATTTTTCTACAGGAATTTAATACTTGTTTTGGAAACACTGTGTAAACCATTTGGGAAGGAAATTCCTAGGGTTAAACACTACTTGTCCCATGTTGTTATTGTAAAGCCTTCAAATAAATACTCAGTCTCTATATATTAATAGACAAGAACATGTGTCCCTATGTGTGTGCCTGACTTTAATACCATGAAAACTAGGTACTTGAAACTGGGTGTGCCTATTAAGGGCACTCTAAGAGTAAGCACCTTCAGTTTACAGTACTTTGTTTCTAAAATAGGCTAAATGTAGTAGTTTGTAGCACCATCTTTAATCACTTGGTGGTATGCATACTGATCTTTCTTAGAAAATATGTTGTAGTCTGGCCTGAGATAGTTCTTTCTGAAGTGGAACTGTAGCCAGCAGCATGTGGTGCTTCGCTCTGAAGGGCCCCAAGCTATTCCAACTGTTATCAAGGAGGGGCTAATTCATGATTAATGTAGATAGGGAGTGGGCAGAAAGAAAGGCTGAGAGAGCACCGTGTGAGAAAGAGAAAAAGACTATCAAGAAGTAGTGGTGGGGAAGAGAACAGAACGAGGAAAGGAAACAGGGAAGAGCAGTATAATGGGCAGGGGAAAGGTTTTTAACTCATGCAAAACATGGTAATTCCAGTTACTCTAAAATAATATTTGAAGTGTGGATGGGGTATATATATATAGTGAGAAATTAGATGAAAGCAAGTCTTGAGTTTCCTTTTGTAAATCACAAAATACACTGAAAAAAAGTAATCCATAACAAATAATCTTATTTGTTCAAATTTTATTTATCTTATTCACAATTCATTGTGAATGAGTGATTGCGATTCTCCTTAAAAGCCTTTCTAGATTAAGACCTAAGACCTAGAGCTAGAACTATATCATTATATAGTTAAGACCTAGTTCTGAATATGCTTTAAAATACAATATAATGCTATATTGGCTTATCTTTTTATGGATGAGGTCTAGGGCTTAAACCAATCTGTAGTCAAATTCTGAGCAAAAGTCAAGACTAAAATGTAAAGTTTGCAATAAAATATGGTACCTCGACCAAGGCTAGAACTACAGTTTAATTTTAAAATGACTCTTTAGAAATCAGTGGCTCATAATTCTTTAAGAGTATTGCTTCAATGTTCCAAAAAGGCTTTGCACTTTGTTAGTATTCCTTGAATATATAGCCTTTTTGGTTAGTTATTCTATATCTGTGGTGGTTATGATTTGGATTTAGAAGAGTTGTTCTACAAAGAAGAGGCTTTCTATTTGTGGAAGGGCTTTTAATCCTTCAAAGAGAAGAAGAATAAAAGTAAGGGAATTAACAATTTTAACTGAACCAGCCTTCTCCGTTGAGTCCTCTACAACAGTGGTCCCCAACCTTTTTGCCTCCACGAACTGGTTTAGAATGCAGATGGGGGGCAGGGGGCTTCCATATGGGCATGGGAGGGGCTGTGTGTGCATCCATGCATGCATGGGAGGGGCCGTGGGAGGGGCCATGCATGTGTGTGAGGGGCCATGTGTGCATGGGAGAGGTGTGCATGCATCTGTGCACATTGGGGGGCAGGAGATTTGCGGCTCAGTCCTGGCAAGGTGACGGACCGGGACTGGTCCATGGACCAGGGTTTGGGGACACCTGCTCTATAACACACTAATCGCATAGTTGTAGATACTTTCAAACCTCTGAAACGCAGAAGGGAACAAAGTATTGTGACACTGGGAAGATGCTAGTCCACAACATGGGATCCCCTACCCCCTTAATTTGCAAAATCATTTTCATGAGAGCAATCTAATCAATGAAAAACATTCCTGATTATTCAGCTTCATCCTAATCCTATATTTCAAGTTTTTCACGTTAGTTTGTATATCTGTAACATTTGTTTCACACAAAACATTTATAATTTCTTTGGTCCTTTATGTTGAACAGTTCAGGCCGTGGTACTTGTCTTGATAATGAGCCTCCAAAGCGTGATTTTATATATCCTGCGGTGGCACCAGGTCAGGTATATGATGCTGATGAGCAGTGTCGCTTCCAGTATGGAGCTACATCGCGCCAGTGTAAATATGGGGTAAGAAGTCTTAATCCTTACATTAAATGTGCTTCTTTGTAATTTCTGTGTATGTCTTCATGTCATAACTAGTTAGATATAACAGTCAGTGACAAAGCTTTCCATTAATAATTTGCACAGTAGCACTGTTGCAAATAAGAAACAAGAAATGTTTATGCTGCATCTTTTGCTTGAGTCATTTGTATATATTATTTTCTCAAATGTTGGACTAAAATAAGCTGGGCAGTTTTCTTCAAGGTCAGTAAGCTTTAACTAACTGACAACACCTACGCCATTCATTTGTTAGTTGTAAAACTGCTGCTGATGTCTGGTGGAACAAGTTCATGAGATATTAAACTTCCAGGTGCAAACCTCACAATACAGCTTTCATTGTAGGTTATACACAGTTTTCCAATAATTTTCCTGTAATTTTATCACTAAACATCCTTATATTATTTCTTGCTTCTTGTTATAGTGATGGAAAAACAACAACAATAGTGATACTTCTATTTTTACTGCTGTTGCTACTAATGACAATAATGAACTGCACAGAAGAAAACAAAGTGGTGTTAAAATGTATTCCTTCCTGTTTAATCAGAGTATTATCAGTTAATTATAGTGAGTCATTCAAATTTGTTTGAAATAATGCAACTGCATGTTGAATTTCAGACAGTATGTAGAATTTGTACAACATCAGTTGCACTGATTCTGCAGTGGCAGTCACCAGCTGTGTTTAAATATGAAAATGGTATTTCAAAAGTACATTTTGTAGATTCTTGTTTCCAAGTTACATATTATTTTATACACTTTTTAAATAAAAGAATGTTAATTACTATAATATTTAGTCAAGTCTAAAACCCCTCTATATAACAATTCACTTGATTACACTAATCACTTCTGTTAGAGCTGTAGCAGATAGGGAATTCCTTTTAAATATCCCTGGGGTGATAAGTACAATATTATTCTTGGAATGACTTTTGGCGGTGCTTACAGCAACAGATTTAAAAGTCTTGTGTAGTTGGCTAGCTGTCTGGTCAGGTCTCTTATTCTTGATTGAGAAATCAAGGGCTTTATTTTTCTATCTAAGCTCCACGTCTCCCTCTGTTCTGTTTCCCTTCTTTTTATATCAAGTCCACATGCTTTAGTATTTTCCTTTTGACTTTTTGCTGTAGACAGACACTGTTTCTTAGTATGCATTCAGTATGAATGCATACATTACCCATACAACCAAACATTTAATTTGGTTGTATGGGTATCAACGTAAGGTATATTATTTTTCAATATGCATTACAAAGTAAGAAATATTTATGTTGCCATTGAGCAAATGAGTCATACTTTCCATTAGCCACTTATCAGGTGGTATAGTCAGTGTTGCATTGACAACATTGTGCAATTGTACTGCGAGGGTACACTTCAAAGAACTGTCGGCAAAGGTCTTGATTATGCATGGGAGCTCCTAGACTGTTCAGCTTACCTGTAGACACTTGTGAGATAAACCACTTGGCTGAAATGTAGGAATAGCATTTCATGTTTGGCTCTGTTGTTCTTTTGGGGGACTTACATTTAATACATTTACCTCTATACTATTTCTTTCCTCAGTAGATCCCAGATCTGTTTGTGTACTCTTCTCTCCCCCTCCCCATTCTGTTTCATCTTGCAATGATCTTGTGGGATAGCTGAGGTGAGGATCAGTTTTGTAACAGAAAGATAATTTGATTCTAGATCTCTCCCATTCTAGTCTGACATGGTATTCGTTAGACCACATTGGCTTTGAACTGCATTTTGGCAGTCCTTCCTAAACCTCCCATCAATAAAACCAATACAGTTTAATTTTAATGCAACTCTTTTAAAACTCTTTCTCCTTATGATGTGTCTACTTTTCAAAATGGAAAAGTTGTGGGCACTGGTATCATTTCTTTCTTCTTTTAAGTTTCTGCCACTTACAGGCTTGAATCCTGTTGGTATTATGTGTAGGGTTTGTATAACTTGCTATGACTAATTACAACTTAATAATGAAGGTTTGGGGTGCATCTTGTTGCACAGTTGGGCAGAGGACCAAGAGAAGGCATGGTGCCTTGTAACAGTTACCTGCAGTAAGTTATGCAAACTTTTCTATGAACACTTATAGGATTCTGTCCATTGTGTAGTTGGGAAGGAAGCGACAGCAGGCAAATATACAGAATCAGTACCTTTAAGAAAATAACTTTTTAAGCATTTCATAGGCTGCTAATATTTATCAAAGTATTGTGCCCTCTTAGAACACTTTCTTTACTTTTGAGTTCCAATGTCAGATGAAGATACACAAATATTTGAGTGTGTCTGCATTCAGGAAGTACTTTACATTGGAGGATTGTTGATTTTTCTAGCAGTAGTGCTCCCTTCAGTTGGGACTCAGGAAGTAAGTCTTACTAGGATGGCAAGCAACAGCAGAGAGATGAATTCAGCGGTCATGCTTTGATTGATTGATTGTAAGATAAAGGGCTTGTCCCACTGAGGTGGGCACATGGATTCTCTGGGGCTGAGTGATAAAAGACAAGGCAGAACCAATGTATTAGATCCATCTGTTCTGAGTAGGGATATGAGCAAGTATTTTATCCAGCTGCAGTCTACATTCCTGCTTAGAATGTCCTGTCCTTTCCTTGGACCAGAAACTGTGCTTGGGACAGAGAGTAAAGGAGCAGCTGATTCTTCTAGAATGCTGGTGCTCTCTCACCCCACACTTTCTGCATATGCAGTATGTTTATATTGTATGTAGGTAGCCCTGCTTTTATAAAATCCCAATATATTTCCTGTAGAGCTTCTTTTGAAACCAGCTTGATTTAGAACACTAAAACCCAGTTTTAGATGGCAGTACTTATTTGGATCATGTCCCAAACAGTTTTTTGTGTACTACTAGGCAGAGGATGAAAAACCAAGCATGTTGACGGTTGTATTTTTAAAACTATTCCAGCTCTTCGGGATCACTGTAGTTAGTTAGCTGTTCAGATTGTATAAAATTTGTTGAAATATGACCATCACAACCACCAGGAGAAATATCTGGTAAATAAAGCCACTTAGAATTTAGCTTTGGAAAACAGTTGAAGAAGGATTTTGTTAATATTTGGTGCAATTTGATGACTCTCACCAGAAGACAAATAGTCTGAAACCAAAGAACAATGAAAAGGAAGAAGAAATGAAAATAAGAAGAAATAGTTACACTTGATTTTTTTTCTAATATGAATTTCTGTTGGTTTTCAATAACAAACATTGTTTTAACATGAAAGTGACTAACTTAAAACTAAAACTCAGTTATTTGCTGCTACTGTGCTGCATCATCAAATTTGGTGGCATTGGTGATAGAGACTCCAGTTGACAAAAATGTCCAAGAACACATATGATTTTGGACCATAAATTGGCCATCCCTCTTTTTAAAAAAAAATGTATTAAACAAACATCCGACTTAAACAACATAAACCTAACACCACAATAAAATACAATTACATAATACACCAGTGCCATCATCACCCTCAGGGCTAGCATTAATAATATCTTTAAATTTCATTCAGTCCATTTTCTCTCCAAAACTTCATTGTTTCTTCCCTCGGTGTATACCTCTTCCCTCTCCAAAATGCATATTCCAAGAATACACTCCATATTTTCTTAAAATCATTATTTCTGATAGGCCTCTTCTTATTTTCATATCACATGTCAGTTTATCATTAATTGCCATAACCCATAGTTCTTTATATCGTTCCTCTAAATTGAGTTGGTTATCATTTTTCCAGTTTCTTGCAAATTAACCTTGCTGCCGTAATCATTATTACTATTAAGTCCTTATTTTCTTTCAGCAATCGATCCTTCTTAACCAATTTCAATAAAGCCATCGATGAAGACATTTAACTATTTAATCCATTTATTTCCCTTATTTAAAAATTTGCTTCCATTCTTGCTTTCTTACTTCACATGATCACCACATATGAATATATGTCCCCTTCTCTTTTTTTACACTTCCAGCATAGCGATGGTACATTTTTATTTATTATATTCAGTTTTACCAGCATTAAATATCACCTCCATATTACCTTATAACAATTTTCTTTTATCCTTACAGACATGTTCTTCATAATTCTTTGGTCCCACACATTTTATCCCATTCTTCTCCTATTACGTCTTTATCCAAATCATATTGCCACTGTGCTCTTAATCCTTGTGTATCCTGTTCAGCCTGAATTAATATTTGATTTACAGTTCCCTTTCTTTCTGTCTTTTCCTCTAATTTCAATCTTTTTTCATTACTCTCTTAAAATTTTGTCATTTTTTTCTACTTCCCCCTTCCTTCCTATTCCATTCCCTTGTCCACCTTTCTATTTGAATCACATTAAACCAAGAAATCCCCTTGCCTCCCAAATCTCTCTTATATTTCCTTTATCGTTCCTCTTCTCCATCCAGTCTTCTATCCTATTTATCCCTCTATTTTTAATCTATTCTTAAGAGTTTTTAAAAAGATTTTCTGGAAAATTCTTTAAATCCACCACCTGGGATAAAGGAGAGATAGGTGAGCTCAATATACCTCTAAACCTTTTCCAATTTTCTAACATTTTTAAGGAAGGGGTTAGTAATCTTTTAAATCTCTTCTCCATTTTTTCTTTAAACAATATACTTTCAATTTTTCTTCCTTACCCTGCATTTCTATTTCTGTCCAAATTAATTTTTTATTACCTTTAATAATATCTGGAATATGTCTGAGCTGATTTGTTGTATAATATAATTTTAAATTGGATAATCCAAGACCTCCTTTGTTTGTGTTACATACTAAAATTTCTTATTAATCCTCACTAATTTATTTCCATTACAATAACAATTTATCATTATCTGCCATTCTTTCAATTGTTTTTCTGTAATCTTTATAGGAAGCATCCAAAATATAAAATTTTATTTAGCAATAATTTTCATTTTGCATAATGCCACTCTACCAAACCAAGAAATCTTTAATTTCTGATAATCTTTTATCCCTCCAGTTATCTCTTTTTTTTATCTATCCA